TCCCATATAAAGTGGAGGAAGGTGGGCACGGATGTTAGCCCAGGGCCAGTCTTCCTCAGCAAAAAAGAGGAGGGTTGGCAGATGTTAGCTCAGGGCCGATCTTCCTCAAAAAAAAAAAAAAACCAGAACTGTGTTCATTAGCAGTAATTTGGAAAACAGAAAAATAGAGAGAAAAAAATTTTGATCTGTAGTCTGACACCAAAGCCAATTACTAATATTTTGATATATTTCTATTAAGTGCATTTAAACATGTAATTATGCATGCATTAAAAATATATCTAAATAATTTTCTATCCTGATTGTTGTATTTAACCTGTGACAAGAATGCTCTAAACCATAATGGAAAATATTGATGGATTTGACTACGTGAAAATTTAAAATTCTATAAAGAAAAGTTCATAAAGTTAAAAATTTGGAAAAAATATTTTATTATCTATGTATGATAGTCATTTCTTTATAAGGAGCGATACAAATCAACGAAAAGATAAACACCTCAGTAGAATCTCAGATAAAAAACATGAAGGATTTTGTAAAGAAGAGCAACCAAGTGACAGATAAAAATATAAAAAAAATGTTTGGCCTCACTTAGAATCAAAGAAGTGCAAATTTAAATGGGACACCATTTTCTACCTATCAGATTGTCAAAGATTAAAAAGAAGAGTACTCAGTTTTGGCCAGTGTGTGGGGAAATCAGGGATTCTTGTTAATTGCTCATCAGCGTTCCTGTGGGATAATTTACCAGTGTATATCTTTAAAATATTTAAAAATATATCTTTTGGTCCAGTAATTTCATTTATGAGAATTTATTCTATGGAAATAAGACAAGTGACCAAACGTATAAGTGTCTGTGTAGGGATTGGTTAACTTGAGGCATATCCATATAGTGGAAAATTATGGAGCTTTAGACATAGATGTACATTTATTACATGGAACATCAGTAGGTTCGTGGATGGTGGTTAGCAGTAGAAGTCTGCCATTACCCCTAACTGATACTCCAGCTGTCCCCGAGAACCCTTCTTTCATCTGGCTTTCTTCCTAAAGCAACAGACCATCCTTTGCAGGCATTGTTTTTAGGCAGTAGTAAGTGGAAATTTGGACAGTTACTATGGGAATCTTCATGACAGGGACTGTTATAAATTTCTAGGGATGGCCCATTGAAAATTGGGCTGTCATAAGGCAGAGTCTCTGGGGCCTGGACATGTCTATTACGACAAACTTCCTGAGTGATTTTGATGTGGACTATTGGCTTAGATTTTGATGTAAATAATTTTTTTTCCCAAGTGCTAACCTTTTGTTCTCCATCTTTTTATTAAATAATCTTTCTATTCCCTATGGTTGGGGCTTTCCTAATTGTTAAATGCTTCTGCTATCTGTAGGTGCCAGTAGTCCCTAAGCCTTCTCTGAAACAAAAGGTATTAAATATTAAAGGTTATTCACATCTCAAAATTCATGGCATGCTATTTTCCTTTATATTCTGGAAAGTTCCTCTGAAAGACGTGAAAATCCTGTTTTATTACTTCTGGGGGAATGATTTAACAGTGAACGAATTGTAAAATATCGTGGTGATCTGGAGGGACACAACTCTGTACAGTATTTGGTAACTAAGCTTTTTATCTTTTAGGTCTTATTTGACTGGATGATGAAAATTGGGTACCACACATCCCTATACAGCCTTTCTACTTCCTTTCCCAGAAGGCCTCTGGAAGTGGAGGGAGGCTGCTCACTGCAGGACGTAGGAATAACTGTGGATACTGTACTCAATGTGGAAGAGAGAGAGCAGAGCCACTGGTTCAAATGAGAACCACCTGTTCTACATAAAATCAGTTACGCCATGGCCTTAGAGGACAATAAATGATTCATGTAGAAATCATGCTGTACCTTGATTGAGCTCAGGGCAGTAAACACTTTAATGTTGATGGACATAAAGGATTAGAAAAGGATTGCTCTCTGCATATAATAATTTTTGGAATGCGCCATTTTATAATGTACCAACTGAGAACTTGGTAAAACTGTACACCATCAATAATTTATATTTTTCCTAGCTGACATTTATCAGTACGTTGAGACAAAGTCATATAACTTGGTTTCCTGCCTCTTCAGTCTGTCTTGCCACACTGAACATTTCACAGTTCAGTCAAACTCTTTAAAGCCTTATAAGGAGGAATGTTTATCCTGCTATATTTCTAGAAATTATACTTTAAAGACGTTTCAAAGGTCTTTAAAGTTCTTTTTGATAGGTATGTATTAATGTTTAATTAACTAATGTTCGAGATTTATATAATTTTGCCTTGCATTAAATTGTAACATTTAAAGTTCCAAATGGATCAGTATTTTTTAAAATAAAACAAAACATTAAAAATGTAGGTGAATTTTTTTTAATATACCTGTGGTCGTTTCATTTTCCTGCTTACAAACCTGTAATGGTGTATACGTGGACTCGAATACCAAGTGCAGGCTCCAAGTGTGGTACAAAAGGCTCTTGGTTCTAGTCACTCCCTTCTTCTTTTCCCCTGCTCTGTCTCGAAAGTCAGTTAGCTTGACTCCTCTGTGTATTGCCCTCTACTTAATGCTGCTTTATACCTCCTCTGTACAATTTATTACACTGGATTATAGCTATGTTTTTGTTTTCCCAAATACATACTTCCTTAAAGGCAAGGGTTATGTCTTTTTTTCCCTCAGAAGTACCTAGAATGGGGCCGGCCTGGTGGCGTAGTGGTTAAGTGCGTGCTCCACTTGGGTGGCAGCCCGGGGTTTGCAGGTTCAGATCCCCGGCACGCACCGACGCACCGCTTGTCAAGCCATGCTGTGGCGGCGTCCCATATAAAGTGGAGGAAGATGGGCACGGATGTTAGCCCAGGGCCAGTCTTTCTCAGCAAAAAAAAGAGGAGGGTTGGCATCGGATGTTAGCTCTGGGCTAATCTTCCTCACACACACAAAAAAGTACCTAGTATATGGTCAGTGCTTAATACGTGTTTGAAAATGAATAAGTTGTCTCAACTTTTAACTTTTTTTCATCTCTGGAATATCACACGTTGAAAAATATTCATCGTTTTTTCTGATTCTAAGTTAATTGTGAAAGTGTTTCAAAACTTTACAAAGTTACAAAAACAACATTAAAATCACCCATAATCCCAATACCTAAAAATAAACATAACTAACATCATGGTTTTCTCTATGTCCTGTCAGACTTTTCTATGCTTATGAACCACCGATTAAAAAGTACAAAAAAAAGACCCCACATTTTTAGAAACTTTCAAGAAATTGATTATTGTGTAAGCTATCAAGTAATTATGCTACTTAGGAAATGTAGTGGCAGGCTCCCAGATGGCCCCCAGGATCCCTGCCTCCTGGGAGTCACACACGTGTGTAGTCCTCTCCCACACTGTATCAGGATTGGTCTGTGTGACCAATGTTGTGAGCGGCCTCCTGGAGAGGTCCACGCCTGCCAACATCAATGAGAGGAAGCCTAGAGCCGGACCTGCAGCCCCGGTCAAGTCTTCAGAGACTGCAGGTCTGGCCAACAGCTTGATTACAGCTTCATGAGAGCCCTGGGCCAGAACCACCTAGCTAAAATGCTCCCAGATTCTTGACCCTCATGATTAGTGAGATAACAAATACTGTTGTAAGCAGCCAAGTTTTGAGTTAATTTATTACAGAGCAATAATAGACCACACAGATTTTGGAACCTGTCAGTGTGGTGCTACCTTAACAAAAACCTAAACTGTGGGAGTGGCTTTGAGGAGAGTCGTTGAAAGGCTAAAAGGGCCTTGAAATTGTTGATAAAAGGCTCGTAGACTTTGATAAAGCTGCAGGTGGGGACTTGCAGGAAAGTGAGGTAAATGTTACTGGAAACTGGAGGAAGGAAAATCCTTGTTACATAGGGACAGAAAGTTTAGCAACACTATCACCGGCAGTTATGTGGGAAGTGGAAAATATAGCTAGTGAATTAAGTGATCTAGCTAAGTATATTTCGAACCAGAGTATTGAAAATGCCTCCTGGTGTCTTCTTGCTGCTTAAAGTAAAATGTGAGAGGAAAGAGATAAGCTAAAGAAAGGACTTAAAAAGAAACCAGGGCTCATTGGTGTAGAAGATTCCCAGCCTCTCCAGGTGGCAAATAATGCTAAAATTAAGAAATGGCCTCAGAGCAAAGATCACATCAAGGGTACTCTCAGGAGAGCGTGGTATGAAGATTAAGCCACGAGTGTAGCTGTAAAATCCTTTGTTAAGACCTGAGAAAGACCAAAGGTGATGCCTCAGGAATAAGAATCACAGAAGACTCAAAAGTTTTAAAAATAATTCTATCAGCAGTAACCTGGACAGCTTGGACTGAAAGAAGTAAAAATTAAAAGAGGCCTTTGGACCCTCAAAATTCTACTGGCAGGAAGCAAGCTGAGAAAACGGCTCTGCTGTAAACCTGTGCCGCCTCTCATGAAAAGAATGACAGAACGTGAAACCAAGGTCTCTGAGGGCCGAGTCAAGAGCCGTTGGAAGGTCACTTCCTGGCAGGAATAGGACTGAGTTCTAGTTAAGGAATTTCTATCACTTGCCCAGCAGGATTTCAGAACTGCTCATAGATCAGTAACTTCTGTGTCTTTCATTTTCAGTCTTTGTGAGCAGACATCATCCTGTCTCTCTCACCATCATATGCTGGGTGTGGGGAGAAGCAATAACGGGTCTCTAGTTCACAGGCCTACAGATCAGGAGGACCTGTGCTTGAGAGCTGTACTTAAGAACTGCATACACCCTAGTAGGCTCCTCTGCACCTGGACCTGATTTAGATGCTGAGATTCTGGGTTTTGAGCTGATGTGGTAATGGGTTGAGACTTTTGTATTCCTTGGGAGGGAAGGAATCACTGGGGGGTTGAGGCTGGCTGTGGGAGCCAGCCTCCAAGATGGCCCCCAATGATCCCTCTGTCCTGGTAGTCACACTTTTGTGCTGTTCCCTCCCACAGCATACCAGAGCTGATCAGTATGATGACGAATAGAATTAACCAGATGTAACGATATGTCCCTTAGACTAGATTATAAAGGACTGTGCTCCTATCTTGGTTCTCTCTCTGTCTCATCAATTAGGCTGATGGAAATGTGTTGTTAGCAGCCCAGTGGAGAGGACCACATGTCAAGGTACTGAAGCCTCCTGCCAGTAGCTGCATAAGTGGGCTTGGGGTGAATGCTCCAGCCTCAATCATACCTGAGACTGCAGGCCTGGCTCACACCTTGAAGTAACCTAATGAGAGACTTCGAGCCAGGACCACCCAACTAAGCTGCTTCTGGATTCCCGACCCACAGAAACAGCAGGAGATGATAAATGCTGTTTTAAGCTACAACATTTGGTAGGACTTTGTTAAGTGGCAATAACTAGTACAAGAAATATGTAGAGCATTTTTCCCAACAATATAAAGACATCTTTAGGAATGACTTATACTTTTCTGGGTGGAATCTTTGGTTTCTCTAGCTGCCGCTATCTCTTTATCAGGGTTTCTTTCAAAGATTCAGTAAGCTTCCATTATTCTTTGAATAGACTCAAATGCAAAAGAAAAAGAATGAACATTTCCATATTTACCTGTTCTGATCACAGACTTTCACAGGCTCTATTTTCAATTGTCAATCCACAACTATTTCCAAGGATATTGACTACAGAAAATGATTATTACCATTAAAAAAAGATCTTTATCTTTTAAAAAGCCAAAATTTCAGCAATGAACAAATAGTTCCTAAAATTTGTGGTATAAAGATTTCTCTCGTCCCCCCAATTTCTAACACAAAAATCATTAGGGCCATTTCTTGCTTGGCAATATATTTTTCTTTGACACAAAGAGAAAACACTATCAGTTGCATGTACAACTAAGGGGCTAAAAATAGAGAGGGTTAATTGTTTCCTTGGTTACAAAAGCTAATCCTTCCTCTGAATTTAGGGAAAGGAACTACAGATGCCTTAAATCTTTAGATTCTTAGTTAATAATACTATTCTTTTATATTGTAGTCCTCTTGCAATGAGTTGGAAAAATTAGAAACACAATTAAGGAATTACTTTTCCTAGGTGTGATGATGGTATTGTGGTTAAGCTGGAGAGAGAAAGAGAGAGAGAAAGTGGAGAGAGAAAGAGAGAAAGAGAATCCTTATGTCTAAAGATACATTCTACAATATGATAGGAATTACGGTCAAAATTTCCTTCAAAATAATCGGGATTGGGGAACAGTAGGTGGGGATATAGATGAATAAATATTAAAGCTAAGTAAAAGGTATATTGGGGTACCTTATAGTCCTCTTTCTACTTTTGTATAATTTTCCATGATAAGATGTTGAAGGATATCAACAGGTTTAAGATAAAAAAGGGACAGACGTAAATTTCTCAAGTGACATATGAGAAAGCTGTGACTTAAGACAGGTTTAGATTAAAAAAAAAAATTGCCCCAGGGAAAACTAATTTGAGTCTTCTTTCAACTTAGCCTATTTATTTTGTTTTTAATAATATACTTCAGTGGAGTGAAATCGAAGAATTTAAAAGACTTACCTCTTAAGTAGACTAAAGAACATTCCGAGTATTTAAAAATAGTATGCAGTCAAAATGATGAGTGAACTGTATAACCTATGTATCTCTAGCATGCAAGCCACATATGCTTATTTAGAGAATTTCTCCTAATTTTATTAATCCTCATCTCTGTTTATGCTTCACTTTGTAAACTCTCTCCCTCAATGTAATGGACTGATGTGGGAGATCTACTCATTTGAGTTTAATAAATACAATAGCCCCTGTTATCAAAACAACCTATAAATGTCATTGTAGGTTGTCCTACTATTTTGACAGTGACACTAAGAGGTATTTGGATGTGGGGAGAAAAGAAAATAAAAAACACA